CTATGGTACATCTTCACTGAAATTTTATTTTAACATCTTTACAGTATATATTTTTACCTAATTACTTTAAAAAAATTAAAAAAAGTTCAAAAATAATGATTATGACAATTGTCACTTTTATATGGTAAATCTTCACTGAAATTTTATTTTAACATTTTTACAATATATATTTTTACCTATTTACTTTAAAAAAAATTCAAAAAAGTTCAAAAATAACGATTATGACAATTGTCACCTTTCTATGGTACATCTTCACTGAAATTTTATTTTAACATTACAATATATATTCTTACCTATTTACTTTAAAAAAATTCAAAAAAGTTCACAAATAACGGTTACGACATTTGTCACCTTTCTATGGTACATCTTCACTTAAATTTTATTTTAACATTTTTACAATATATATTCTTACCTATTTACTTTAAAAAAATTCCAAAAAGTTCACAAATAACGATTATGACAATTGTAACTTTTCCATTGAAATTTTATTTTAACATCATTACAATATATATTTTTACCTATAAACTTTAAAAAAAATTAAAAAAGTTCAAAAATAACGATTATGACAATTGTCACTTTTCTATGGTACATCTTCACTGAAATTTATTTTAACATCTTTAAATATATATTTTTATCTATTTACTTTAAAAAAGTTCAAAAATAACTATTATGACAATTGTCACTTTTCTATGGTACATCTTCACTGAAATTTTATTTTAACATCTCCACAATATATATTTTTACCTATTTGTTTTAAAAAAAATTAAAAAAGATAAAAAATAGCGATTATGACAATTGTCACTTTTCTATGGTACATCTTCATTGAAATTTTATTTTAACATCTTTACATTTTTACCTATTTACTCTAAAAAAAGTTCACAAATAACGATTATGACAATTGTCACTTTCCTATGGTACATCTTCACTGAAATTTTATTTTAACATCTTTACAATATATATTTTTACCTATTTAATTAAAAAAAGTTCACAAATAACGATTATGACAATTGTCCCTTTTCCATGGTACATCTTCACTGAAATTTTATTTTAACATCTTTGCAATATATATTTTTACCTATTTGTTTTAAAAAAATTCAAAAAAGTTCACAAATAACGATTTTGACAATTGTCACTTTTCTATGGTACAGCTCACTGAAATTTTAATTTTTACAATATATATTTTTAGCTATTTACTTTAAAATAATTCAAAAAAGTTAAAAAAATAACGATTATGACAATTGTCACTCTACTATGGTACATCTTCACTGAAATTTTATTTTAACACTTTTACAATAAATATATTTTTACCTATTTACTTTTCAAAAATAACGATTATTACAATTAATATTTTTCTATGATGGTACATCTTCACTGAAATTTGATTTTCATCTTTACAACATATATTTTTACCTAAAAAATTTAAAAAATGTTCAAAAATAACGATTATGATGTTTATGACTTAATTTAGTCGACTTTATTAGTTCTTTTAGTCGACTTAATTAGTTCTTTTAGTCGACTAAATTAGTCGTTTTAGTCAACTATATTAGTCGTTTTAGTCGACTAAATTAGTCGTTTTAGTCGACTATGTTAGTCGTTTTAGTCGACTATATTAGTCGTTTTAATCGACTAAATTAGTCGTTTTAGTCGACCAAATTAGTCGATAATAGACTAATTTAGTTGCTAAAGTTTTTACGAATTTTTCGACTAAAACTATTAGTTAGTCGTCTGACAACACTACTTATTTGGAATAAATTATTACTATGCTTTTATATTAATGTATATACAAGTATTTTATTATTTATATAAATTAATAAATATATATTTCATATTTGTTCCAGGCTTATTTTTTTTATAAAAATTAACCTCCTATCTTTTAAAAATATTTTATGACTATATATAGATTAAGGTAACCCGACCGAAGGACCAGTTATTTTTTAATCCCCCCTTTAGGAATATCCTGGCTACGCCTATGGTAGTGTTGTTAAACGTCTCGTTTTGAGCCGATTTTTAAAAACGGCTAACTCAATATTTTAGCCAAAATAATATTGCCTAAGCCTTGAGATTTCGCTAATAGATGTCCAAACCATTGTTCCTTCTATAAACAAAATCTTTAGGCTTGTGTTATACTATTCTGGATGAAATATTGAGTTAGCCGTTTTTAAAAATCGGCTCAAAACGAGCCGTTTAAGAACACTGCCTATGAGTGTCATTATTAAATATACAATAAAAGGGAGTAAACAAGGTAATATTTTATTTTAATTGAATACATATGGGACAGGCTTATTTAAGAATAAACGTCATGTTTCAGTTTATATAATAAAAAGAATATGTTGTAGATATATAATTTCTGGTGATAAATGAATATTTTTTTTGATCCTCTTTGAGAATGCTCAAGTAAGATTTTTGAATAAATTCCGTTTAAAATTTTAAATCCTTTTTTTTTGCAAAAACCTTTTTAATTTTTGAAATTTTTTTATAATTTCTTTAATTTAATGTATTTTATTACTATTTATTTCAAAAAAAATATGATAATACTAGAAAATAAATACATAAAGAATATTATTAACATTTATTAAATCATTATATTTGTTCCTCGAACTCGATGATAGTACCTTTTTAGCATAAAAAAGATAACATTAAAATTATTAATACAAATCAATTATGAGGATTACCAAATTAATCAGTTGTCAGTGATAACTCAACTCAAAATAGTTTTTAATGTGATTTCAAAGATTAGTAAAATCACAAGGAATAAATTCATGTAAGAGCTGAATAATATTCCCAACAATTTCATCTCTTGAATTAAGGCGGGGATTGATTGCTCGACATTTATTATTCAAGAATCTAAAAAATTTTTAAAATCAAAAAGATTTAGCTGAAATGAATATAGTGGTAGGTATTGAAATCTACCTTTATAACCATCCTTAAGATTGCTTCTATGGATAGATGTATTATCTATTATAATGTGGGCATCCGGTAGTAAGATACTAATAAGCTCTATCATAGAATCATGGAATAATACCCCACTATAAGCTACTTCGATTTTATTATTTTATAATGGATTATCCCTCCAATTCCAATTATACAAAGTATGCGTATATTTTTACCCTTGGAGGATGGAATTTTTATTATTGGACGGAGATTTATGGCCCCCAGGTGTTACTGGTGCAACATGCAAGTTTATTTCAATTTTATCTAAGAAATATAATTTTTCTCTTATAATATTTAAGATTTTTACACAATAGATTTGACGAATATTAATTGTCCCGATAGTAATTTTTTTATCAGGCTCCTTGCCAGTTCTTTTTTTAAACCAACCTATACTTTTAATATATTTGGTAATGGTTATTTTCATTTTTGGACTATCAGAGGACAAATTTTATATTATTTCCTGGATAGTAAGAGTGTTATTTTCCATTAATAAGCTAATGATGTTTTTTTCAAATATGGAAGAATCTTCTTCTTACTTCCTCTTTTTTTTGAATATTGTATTCTTTTAGAATATCTCTTTACTCGGAATATCTCGCGTCTAAATTTATTAACCGATGCCGCAGACATTTAAACGCATTTTGCGGTCTTTGATTATCACTTGTTGATATTTTTTCCTTGTTACAATATTTGTATATTCTTTTTGGTTTTGAATTCTCGACAGATTAAAGTTTTTATTTTTATTTAAATTGGTAAAATTTGTATTATCATTGGATAATAAAAATTCATCAATAGACATTTTTTTAAAATTACTTTAGAAAAATTAAAAAACATGAATAAATATTTTAACACATTTTTGAATTTGAATTAAATTTCCAACCAACATAATTTCTTTCTATAATTAAACATAATATTTAATCTTAATTAATTGCTTGTCCATATTTAATTTTGATATGTATCAAATTAAAATAAAATCTTACTTTATTTACCCCTTTTATTGTATAAAATAATGACACTCATTTCACTATAAAAAAAATATATTGAGTTAATTATGAGCCTCACAAGATAACAGGGGTTATAGGATTCTTCAGCAAATGTACTCGCATATAATACTACCACACAGTGGCGTAGCCATGGGGGGGGGTTTCGGTTTTGCCCCCCCCCCCCCCAGAGCTAAAAATTTCTCTTTAGATTATACATTCAAAATACTCAAAATTGACTTTATATCAAATAAATACCATGAATATTTATATTTTTCTGGTTTTGATGTTTGTGGAAAGATATTATAGTACTATTGAAATTATTATGGATAGTATTATTATAAAGTCATTGAGATAATCTACTAAATTATAATAACATATTATTTATGCATTTAAAACATATGAAGATATGGTTACCCCAGATCAAAAATAATAATTTGAAATGTATATCAATAAAAGTTATGTCGAAATGTGTTATTTTAATTAAAATTAGTGTTGTTAATGACTCAATTTAAACCGATATGGCTAATTCAATATATTAGCCAGAAAATTATGCAAGCCTGAAAATTTTTCTCATGGATGATACAAAGGTAAAACAAAAGGAGTGTCCTTCATAATTTTTTTAGAAAAAAAGAATTACATTCATTATTATAGTTTAAATATGATTCCTTTACAGATTTTCTTAATTTTCCAAGCAATTTACAAAATAGAACTAAAAAAAAATAAATATAAGGCAAATGAAATTAAAAGATCCAATATAAAAACCCCATTCGGACCAAAATATTTTAAATAATGAATAAAGAGGCGAGCAAATTTTTTTTAACCCTGGCCTAGCTGACATTATTGAATATATTATAAAGTTAAGTGGATAAGCAATTGCATTGCTATTCATGGTATAAATTAACCCTTATCACATTTGTATTTGTTTGTTCCCTCGAATGAAATACTATTTAATATTAAACGATATATCACGATAAATAAATTAGTATCCCGATTTATTTAGATTGTGTTTATCGAAATAAATGAAAAAAATTATATATATTGATCATAAAAATTTATTCATGCGATTATTAATTTAGTTATATTCAAATTTAAAAAAAAAATTCTGTTTATTTTGTTCATTAAAATGCTATTTTCATACTATGCCATAAACGATAAACTTTATGATTAAAATTTTAGTCATAAAATGGTAAACCTATCCTCAAAAATGAGTGGGGTCCCAGCTTTCTTAGCAAAATTATGGGCTTTAGTAGAGGATCTTCAAACTAATGATTTAATTGCATGGAGTGAAGTTAAATACTATATTTTTTTTTTCTGATTTGTATTTTTTAAATAGACTGGAATGAGTTTTAATGTGTTTAACCCAACCAATTTTGCCAAACAAGTCTTACCAAAATATTTTAAACACAATAATATGACAAGTTTTGTGAGACAACTTAATATGTGTAATAAAATTGATAAATATTTTCTTTCTATAGATAATAATGTTTTATAGATGGTTTTAGAAAGATTGCAAGTATAGAACAGGGAAGTTTGAAAACAGAAAATGAAAACATTGAATTTTTTCATCCCTATTTTATTCGTAGTAATCCTCATTTACTGGAACATATTAAAAGAAAGGTAGTATTTAAATCGGTATTTTTATAAAAAATTTATACTTAAGCCTACATTTAAACCTGAAAGTGGGAATTCAACTTCAGCAGTATATGACATGATACAAGATGTTAGCAATATTAAAGAAAGACAAATGGATTTGGAATCAAAAATGGATGATATCAAAAGGTATATCTTCATTTTGTTTAATAAAGTTTAAATTAAATTTCAGAGAAAATACTACATTATGGGATGAAGTCTTATATTTACGACAAAAATATAACAAACAACAGATTATTGTTAAAAAAGTATTTTATTACTTTTATTTAATTATATATGGCTTTAATTTTCAGTTAATCCAATTTTTGCTAGCAATGATAAAGCCTATATCGAATCTAAAAATGAAAAAAAAAATGCCATTAATGTTGAATAATAACACTGATTATACAAGGAATAAATATAAAGCGGTTGTCGAAGAACCAAAATATTACATAAACATGGTATTTTAAAGTTTGTTATATAACTATATATTTTTAATTTTAGAATGATTCAAATTCTTTAGAATCAAGTATATTTATAAGCAGCAATATTTTTGAAATAATTTTTTAAATTTACAGCTGATGCAAAAGATATCACTAATAATAGTATAACTACAGATATGGGCCTACCTTCAGGTTTTAATTTTTTTAAATCATCATATTTTATTGAATTTGATAGATGGATTGTTCAAAGATATATATTTAAACTCAGAAGGATCAAATCACTTTATACATTCCCCTTCAAATTCTTCTATGATTAATGAAAATATAATTGATGATAACAATTTTTTAAAATCCTCAAAACTAATAGATTTAAATGACCCAGTTTTAAACCAATCTCCACTTATGGAGGTAGAAGTTGATAGTTATTTAATGGACATGAATTTAAACCATGCTCAGAAAAATGTATTAACTTCTTTTGGGCAAAATATCCAAGATTTAGAGGATTTGGATTTGATCAAGGATATTATAAATGTTGATGAAAATAACAAAAATAATCATGAATTAAATGCTTTTCACGATATTAAAAAGAATCAAACCCCTAATAAAATAAAATATAACATCGAGGATAATAAAATAACATCAATATCTCAAGAAAAGCAGACTATGAAATATTTACCTATAGCATTAAGAGACCACATAATTGTTGATTATATAGATGATTTGAACTCAAATGAGAATAAAAATGAAGATAAAACAAAGAGTAATAACATTAAACACAAACCCTCAACATCCAATATTTTGAATGCTGTGAGCACAACTAAGCTTGATTCTTATTTAGATGATATTTATGAACAAATTTATAACATAATTGATGATCAAAATTGCTTCAATAACAACAATTATCTTGACAATGGATACAATAATGGAACAATTCAAAATTCCTCCCAAGATTTAGTACCATCTAGGTTGTTTATTTTTAATATAATCTTGACATGAATCGAAGAGCTTTTGATATTGTTTATTTATTTACCCTCAATTAAATGCAAAATTAATTTTATTATATAGATCCATTTTTGAAAAAATATATTTAGAGATCTCAATTACAATTCATTCAATGATTTCAATAATATCGCTGATATGAAAGATATACTAACTCAGGCAAACATATCAATCGATACAAAATTGCTTTTAGATTTAGTAAAAAACTTATATTTATTCTGATTAAATTTGTTGCTTTGAATGACCCCCTTTAAAATACGAAACTTGGCAGCCAACTAAACTAGATCTAAAATTCCTTGTTTTGCATTATTTAGATTTCAGTTTTCTTATTTCCTGTAAAATTAAAAAAATAATTAGATGCCTTAATTAGAAATTATTATTGCCTTTAACTGTTTGATTATAAAAATGGATAGCTACCTTTCATTATATTTAAGGAAAGGAAAGGTATTTTTTTAAATAAACTACTATAGATGGCGCTATATTTTAAAATAATAATGCAATTTTTTTTAATACACTATATTACTGTTGTTTTGTCATATCCCTCTGCTCTATCCAACAAATTCTAATCAGCATTGTAACATTATTCATGCATCAGACCTATTTTTGTTTGGTTAAATATCAATATTCCAAAAATTTTATCGCTAATCATTATCGTTAACGCATTACCGCTAATATAATTTTGCCAAATTAATACTGCTAATATAATATAGTAAGAATATTACTGCAAATGCATCACCGCGAATACATATTAGCAAGTGTGTTAAAGCGAAGAATATCACGTATGTATTGGAAAAATATCACAAATTCATTTTTTACAAATGAATTATCGTGAAAATAGCAAATGTTTTTGGCAATATATTATCGAATGTGCATCATCGCTAATATATTATCGTAAATGTGAGTCCGCCAATCACGAAGTTCTCTAAAATATTAATTTTAACAAAATTTATATTATATATAACCAGCATGCCAAGTTGTTTTGACAATTTTAAAGAGCGTATCCGAATTTTTTGAGATTTGTTATGGAATGACTCAATAATGAATGCTATATGGTGGTAGGGATACATTGGATCTTCCATATTTGGACCTGGTTTTTTTGGATCTGACCTGTTTCTTTTTTTAAATATAATTAATTAACTAGTGTTGTAAACATTTCTAAAAAAAATAGAACGCGTTCAACGTTGATTGTCAATATTCAGACGTATTTGCTTTCTACGTTCACCTTCAAAATAAGGAACGCGTTAATGTTCGTTTATAACTTTATGAATAAATTTAAAAAGAAATTCTTTTAATGTTTACTTTAATATAAATAAATCAATGCCATATATTTCATAACACAGTATATTGACCTTGTTCAAAATTAATAGTTTTATTTTGAAACATAAATATAATAAAATATAGTGAATATAAAAATATTTTCGTATTTTAATTTTTTTTAAATAAACCTGGACCAGACCAGACCTATAATCTTTTTTTAAAAAAATACTCGGGCCGGGCCGTATATTTATAAAACCGAATATTTTGAATCGCCTTTAGCTATAAAAATTAAGAATCTGAATATATAAAATCTGGGCTGGGCCGAAATTTTTTTAAAAAAAATCCAGACCGGGCAACTTGGCATCTCTAATTTTTTTTTTTCTAATATATAAAATTAAAATATAAAAACCCTTGATTCAAAGAATTTTTTAAATATAATTCTAATTAACTATTTTATATCTATATATTTAATATTTAATGATTTTTATTTTATCTATTATATTATTCATAATAATTTAATAAGCCTCTGAAATATAAAAATCTAAAATATATTAACGGGCTACTTATAATTATATTATTTAAAATTATAAATATTACAATCAAGTGTCTCTTTAAATTAGAAATTGAAGTTTTGAAACTGATATACTTTTTAGGACACATTTTACACTTAGAAAAGGTATTGTTGTAGTATTATATATTATAATCTTGTTAATGGTAAATATTATTCAATTGTTATATTCAAATTAGTTTTATAGCCATAATATATTATATATACTTTAGCTTTCAATTGATATTTAAGATCTTCAAATCCCGGCTCGAATGGGCTTCGGACTGGGCATATTTTTTAAAGATAATCTTGGGTTCTGACTAGATCAGGTCTTTTATTTAAAAAAAAATTCTAGCAGAGTCTGGCTTAATTTTTAAATAATGATATTACTCAATTTTATGGAATAAATTGATATTTTAAAAATTCTCGCAGAAACAAGGCGCCAATGTTTTTTATTAATTTTTCGCCAGCTGGGCGGACAAATAAAAACAAATTTTCTGGAATCGGGATGGGATGAACAATTTAAAAAAAAATTTGAGCCAGGCGGACTTGAAAATGTAGGCTCAATGCAGATCACTGATTTATATACCACTTACTTTCGATTTTTATACATACTAAAAAAAGTATTTCACCTCTTAAAATTCTATCTACTTATATGAGTCAATACCCATATTATAGATATTATTATAATTAGCTGTCATAATATCATTACAAATAACGTTTGATCATCCTTATTTTTCACTATGCTGCAGGATAGGGTAATCTATAAAGTATATATAATGTATTTTGTGGCTATATATTTGAAAATTATAATTGAATATTATTAAAATATAAAATAAAATGATAAACAAATTAATATTATAGTAAGATTCTACTGCAGATGGAATAAAGTATTTGAAACGCGTTCTCGTTCAAAGTTCATCAAAAAAAAAGGAACGCTGTTCATCACTTTTTTCAAGAAACGAACGTCATTACATTATAATTAGCACTTTAAAAAATGAAGATTTACGAATTAAAAATTATAATTTTTTTTACTTTAGATTAATAAATGATTGAACACCCTAGATTAATTATATTTGTTTTATGAAATGATGGCATACCCTTTTTTATTAAAAATTTAATTTTCCAAGTTAAGGAGATTTAATAAATATTTTTTTTGGTTCTAAACCTGCCATATCTTCCGAAGAAAGTTCACCCACTTGCCTTAGAATCAGACTTAGGTTAAAAAATTTGGTTCAGGCTTCAGATTAAATTTAAAATAAAAATTGGACCTTATTGAAATAAAATGTTAATTAGAATTTATTTGGGATCAGGACAAAAAAATAATAATCACATTATTTAAGTCATAAGCCCAGCCCATGGCTCATGTATAAAAAAAATAGAGAATTAAATTAAAATTTTAAGTTTGAGAAGAATATCCTAAATTACATTTATAAAGAGTCCTAAACCTAAATAAATTTATCAATGAGCTTCTAATATGCTTGGGCCATAAAATTGAATTTGAGTGATCACTTTAAATAGATTTTAACATGATTAAAATAATATGCTATAATATATTAGTATTAGTCATTTGATTTATTTATTTACTTAATAACAAAGTTGTGATGACAAGCAAATTGAGAATTATACTTTTCTAATACAAGTCCTTATTTTTATTTATTTATTAATTATATTTTAGATGAGAAATATTGACAACAATGACTTTTTGAACCCACCAAATGAGGTTAATTTATACACCTTTATTATGAATGTTAATCATCCTGATATCAATTTTCGATATAAATATTAAACCTAAGGGTGAAACCGAAATAAAACATTATACAACTTTCCGAACCATGACCATGCAGTTATAAGAATATTTCAAAAGAAGAGAACTGGATCGTCACTGTGAATTTCAGATGATTTTGCCATGAACTTTAGAATCACTCTTAATTTGTATTTATTTTTTCTTGGATTTTTCATATAAATTTGAAAATACATAAAAATCTATAGCGGTAATTGTCAGAAATTTAATAAGGTTAGTTCTCTACATATGTTGCAATACATTTCCTATTAAATCGAATTTTGAAAATCGCCCTCGGTATATGATTTAAAATCGAGGGATTCTGTTAAATAATTTTGCGTGTTACATTAAACCAATACAAATCAAAATGTGAATGTAAATATTTAATAAAATTGCTTGTTTTATAATTAAAGAATATGTTAATTAAAGATGGTAGAATATCGTGTTTTTTGTCATATGCGAGGATAGTGCAAGAATTTATATTTCTTCATAGTTCTTTAGGTTGTCAAGATTTTAACTTTTACAAAAGTTATTAATAGCCTTGCATTTGCCCTATAGCTATCTATTTCTACCACAACCCTTTTATAAATTAATTGTGTTTAATATCTGTATTGGTTTATTTGTAATTGGATCATCATAAATGACTTGTTTAATTTTTTTGCGAATATACCATATTATTTAGATTTTGTATTTTAGCTTATTTTGATTTGTTTTCATATAATATTAATAAAAAACAAAATATTAGCTTGAAATTTAAAAAATAATATATCAAAATTTATTGTCCTGTATGCCCCATTAAGAATTTTACCAAAGATCAGAGATTTGCGACGCATGGTCCGATTTTTAATGTATGAATTGCCCGACCCGTTATTATTTTTTGTCAGGCCCGACCTTTTGTAATTTTTTAAAGATCCCTAAAGTTTCAGACAAGCCAAGCCTTGCAGATCTCGAATAATAGATATTAATTAATTTTAGTTTTTATAAAAATTTTACTTTTAATTTGAAAAAATCTTCAAAAAATTTTTGCGCAAAATCTTTCATAATGAAAAACTAAAGTTTTGTTCAAAAAATTTTTGAAGACCTTTTTCAAGCTCTACTTTTAATTCTAGATTTCTATAAAACTGAAATATGAATTGTTAACATTAAAATTGTTTTTATTATGATGTATTAAAATTAGTATAAGTCGGCAAATACAGTAAACAATTATCTTCAATTGGCGATAGTGTTGTCAAACGGCTCGAGTCGAGTTTAAAAACAGCTAACTCAATATCTTACCCAGAAGAATATTAGACGAACCTGAAGTTTGTTCATAGATGACACAAGGTTGGACATCAATTAGCGAAATCTCGAGGTTCAGGAAATATTTTTCTGGCTAAAATATTGAGTTAGACATTTTTAAAAATCGGCTCGAATCGAGCCGTTTAACAACCCTCGCGATTGAAAATAATCAAACTGTTTGTGGCTGGAAATTTTATAATGGTTAATTTTTCTGAAAAATCGAAAGAATTTAAAATTGATAAAATTCGAAAACAACGAAATTGTTTAAATCATTTTTTTAAAAAATTCAAATATTTTTTTTAAATTTGTGAAAAGTTATTGAATTTAATATTTGTTAAAAGTCGGTACATTCGTACTTAATTATATCTTGCTAGTTGTTTTTTTATTATTTTTACAGGAGACTAATTTTTTAAACTTGACTAATACCCAAAAATATTATACCGATCTTTATTTGATTATTTTATATATCGTTTTTTTTTGTTATTTTGTAAATTCACCTTTAATTTATAATATTTCTTTAAAAAAAGCGCTAGATAAATAAATCGATTGCCAAGTTTATAAAGTTTTTTTAAAATCAATATTTAAAAAAATCTTTATGTTTGAATCTGAGATATATATTTTGCGAAATTTTTCTAAAAATAATATATATTTACAAAATGAGAAAAAAATGACTCGATACTTTAGTGCCATATATAAATTTTGCTACTGATGAGAGTGAGGTATTTATAGATTTTGAACCCAATTGATCTCCGTCTAAATCGCTACATCTATTTTTAAAAGAGAAATTGCAACATCTATTTATTGAAAAGAAATTAACAATTGATGTTTTACCTGTATATATTTAATTTAAAAAATTAAAAATGTTTAGCTGTTGAGTATTGAAAATGGAGACATTAGCTACGAAAACGAAGTTATATATAAATATATTTTTTTAAACCTTATCAAGTTAAATTTTTTTAAAATATATTCAGATAGGAATACTATTTATGGTTATAACTTGCATGCCATTTTAAGATTTCTTCTAATTTTTATTTTATAAAACCAAAGGCTTTATAATAAAAAATATATTTTTTTACAATAGATTAGCGATAATGAAGAAAATACGTCAACGTCATTATCAATAAATACTCAAGGTTTAAAAAAAATATATTTATTAATATCTATTTCAAAACGTATAACAAATTTTAGAATATAATATATAATATATTGATTGTCATACTAAAGATAGGGTTGCTTTTAGTCCTTAATACAAATTGATATAATAGTAAACTTTGATGCCTCCTTCTTCTTACTTATTTTGGCAATTTATTTAATATCATATTTATGTGATATTTATTTCAATTATATGCCGTCTTTTGTCTCCCAATAACCAAAATATAAGAAAGAGAAATAAAATTATATAGGAGAATATATATGGATATATATAGTTGAGTATATATTTATTAGTATCTTGTTTACAGTTGATGACTTCTTTTTTTTATTTTTCTTTCCTTGTAATGCCATTTTATGAATCTATGAAAAATCTAGAATGTTCAACGGTAAACATAAAACCCTCTATTTGTTATTCTGTAATTATGATGATATGAATAAGAGGTCTACAAATGAAAATATTTTCAAGCCTAGCCCGATTGGAATTTAGCTTTATCCTGACTCATACCAGATAAATTTGATTCAGCCTAGTTCCAATTTTTTTTTACTAAGGTTTCCCAGCCCAGGTTTTTTAAATATAAGACATATTCTTAAATATATGTAGCTGAAAACCAAAATTAATAACTATTTATAATATTGCGGAGTGGTTAAATTAAAAAAACACTACAATTTATGGATTATCACTTCTTTTAAATATCAGAATTCATAAATAAAGCACCCTATTTTTTTTAATCACCCATCTTCTATAAAATATTTTAGACATTACCCAGCCAGGCTCATGGACTGAGCATTGCACACCTCTAATATGTATTACGATATATAATTAATTAAAAGATGACCATTTTTAGGGTCGTTAAGTCAAGTCTAGTAAAATCTTAAATAAAATTTGCCGTTTTACCCCGTGATGTATTAACCACGAGGCTAATAGGTACTTAAATAGTTTTAGCTATTCTTTTAGATTACCAAGAAACCTTGGCCAAGTTTATAGTATAGATTACATATTAAATTATTAATCAGATATTTTGTAAAATTTAAAAAATATTATTATTCGAAATCAGTGCCTTTTTTACCAGTACACGTTACCGATTCCCTACCCTACAATAAAACATGGGATAGAAAATAGTTATACACCTTTTGGCAAAATTCGAAACAGTTAACTAAAAAGCATAAAAAGTTATTAGGAATTTGATTTTTTACTGATTTCCAAATAAAACCCCTCTCCCCTTTATTTTTTATGATTTTTTAAAGAATAATATAATATTTTAATTTAAGCCTCCACTTCATCTATGCTGTTACCTTATCAACATAAATCTCCTTCACAAACTAATTCTACAAATCAAACCAACCAAAAAACTAAAAAAATTCGCCCAAATAACACAATAGCATATGATCAAAATCATATGAACAATAAAATTGCACTGAACTTACAAGAAATCAATACTCAGGATAAATATGGCAATGGAGATCCACATGAAATGGTCATTTCAAATATATTTGAAGATGAGAATACAATACCTTTCTTGAGTGGTGAGACATTTTCTCCCATAACAAGTTAAATATTTTTTAATAAATTGCACACAATATTATATCAACCCTTTTGAATTTTAATATTTTTGGAAAACATGAATATTTAGAATTAGATTATATTAATACTTACATTTATTTGGAATAATTTAGACGAATTATTCTCGTTTCCGTCCACAGAAACCAATAACAAATTGCTGGCCCCTCACATGAGCCCGCTCAATTTTCTGTTAACCAATGATAAGCCATAATACATAGATACATTTTTGGAGTTACTCAATGAATAGGTTATTATTTAAAATAGAAATATATTTAACAAACTGATTTTTACTTTGACAGATAGTGAGCGGTATGATTACGAAGTCACTTACATACACAAACGAGGAATATTAACAGTCAAAAAATTTTTTTGTGCTATTTAATATTTTAGTCAATAGCTAATTTTCATAAATAAAAAAAATAGTAAAATTATATCATTAATCATACATTTATTATTTCTTTCAACAATTATAAGTTTAGATAGTTTACATTTACAATAAAAATGTTCTCATTTTCAATTTTAAACTAAGCAAAACAATGGATAAGTCGTGATTTCCTTTAAAAAATAAAATCGATTTTTATTGATTTAAATCACATTTCTAATTGAATTTTTTTAAATATTATAAAGCTGTTAAAATATTGAAAATCCAATTCATTATTATTTTTTTATTAATAATGTGGAGAAGATATATTAATAATGTGGAGAAGATATAATTTTTTTATTAATAATGTGGAGAAGATATAATTTTTTTAGAAACGATTTATCTATACATTCAATAAAAACATGGTGACAAGATTTAATCCGATATATATTTTTTTGATTGGATTATATTTTCCTTTTCGACTTCCTCAAAATGCATTTAAAACAAAGATAGATAATCAAAATCAAATTATTATCTTAATTTCTCCAGGTGACATAGTTTTATATTTTAAATTATTTATAATTTAGCATTATTAAATTCCTTGTAGTTGTTAGGTTATTAGAAATTCTTAGTGCTGTAAACATTTCTAAAAAAATCGAACGCGTTCACGTTCGTTCACTTTCAAAAAAAGGAACGAGTTCACGTTCATGAATCGTTCAAAATTTTATCATAAATTTTTTAAAAATTTAATCTAATAGTCTTATATTTATTAACACAATATTAGCGATGTTAAAAAATAATATAGTTTTATTTTGATAATATAATTATAAATTCAATATTATCAAATAAAAAGATATTTATATTTATAAAAAAATTTTCTTATTAATTTTTAATAATAATATTTTTCAAAATTTTCATCTGAAAGACAGAAAAGCTTGGCAGTACGGCATTAGCTATACTAAAAACGCGCTCAAGGGTAGATGAGAGGATTGCGGTATTATACTTAATAAATAACTCTTTTAACGTGGGGAATTTATTAAAACATTTATTGCTTTGTTATTTGCTTCAAAAAATGGTAAGTTATCCTCCTCCAATCCATTCTCTACTTCCTCGACCAAAAAAAGGATTTCTCGAAATTAACAGTTTTGCATTCTAAGATTTTCAAATTTTTCAATAACGCTTTGAGTTTATTTTTAATAGGTTCGTTCTGTGAAAGTTTTATCCATGGCTATTGAAGCTTGAATACTGGATGTATAATTGCAGAAAGAACATATTGATCTTCATATATATGTTCATCTTTTAAAAAAATAAATATATGTAATTAATTGAGAGTGATAGATCTACCTTTTATTAATCCCATTTAATACCTTTTATTAATCCCATTTAATACGGCGTCTATCAATAGTTGACCATATTTGAGGCCACTAATTTTTTTTTAATTTTAAAATAACTATCGTTATTATTGGGGTCAAATATCCCAAATGCATTTTTTCTTCAAATTTAATGATTTTACTTAGTTATATTATATAAAATAATTAATATTACAATCAAATGTCGTTTTAAATTGGAACCTGAAGAATTTGACAATATAATACTTTTTGGCCACATTTTACACTTGGTAAGCATTGAATTAGTTCCTAGGATGTTTCTGTAAAACATTTATCATATTTGGACATGGTAATGATAATTCATCTGATTTTGAATTTTCAGAATCAGATGATGAGTTATTAAATAATAATATCCATGCTTATGCTAATCTATTAAATTAAAATATAAACAATATTCAAATTAATAAACTATGTGTTAAAAAATTGAAATGTGAAAAGGAAATACAGCCGATTAAAAAAATATAAATAATACTTTTTAAAAAAAAAATTCGGAAATATTAAATTTTTCAAATAAATAAAAATAAAAAGTATTTTTAAAATTGAACGAACGTTAAATTCGAACGCGTTCGTCATAAAAAAGGAACGCGTTCACGTTCAAAGTTCGTCAAGAATAAAAGGAACGCCGTTCATTATTTTTTTCAAAAAAACGAACTTCGTAATGAACGCGTTCGTTTACAACACTAGAAATGCTAGCTAGCTCAGTGGTAATAAGGGTGGTTTCCCTTCATCATGAATAAATGGTGGCTTCGATAGTATTAGAAGAAATAAATTCACTAATTTTCGACACGTTCATTTTAGAGTCCTTCCATTATTTAGTAAATTCATTAAGGCAACATAAAAATTTAAGTATAAAAGTAAAGAATAGTTATTTATATAAAATAATCAAAAAGAAAAAAATGACTTTAAATTATTACAATGATGTTTAAAAGTGATAATTGAATACCCCTTTGCATAAATTTTTTTTCATACCTATTCAATTACTTATGTGTTTTATTTATGATAGAAATAACATATAGTACATTTTATACACCCAATGCGAAATCTTAATGGGGCCCAGGGTTAGGCATATTTTCAGAAAATTGTATCCGGATACAGATGCTTCTTAAAATATTCTATTTAAGATACAAAAATATCTGTTTTAAATAATCAGCTTTATATTTGAAGTGCTTAACAACTTTTTGGTAAATATTTTTGAGAATTTTTTGAATTAGTGATAATTCATTGTTCTAATAAATAGACAAGTAAAAAAGGATATGAGAAAACTATAAAATTAAATTTGCTGAGATATTCTTTTTATTTGAAACTTAGGGATTTTAAGGTTAGTGTTTTGCAGTTTTCACAATTTCCCTATTTTCTGTTTAATACTTTATGATTAATTCATATAATTTTAGATGACGTCTATCAATGAAACAAAAAAAGATATTTTTACTATTATACTTTAGGATTTAATAGTTTTTTCAATTCTAGATAATTTTATCGTTAATATAAAAATTTATTTTAAAAATTATAAATTTAGCAAATAAATGAACGATATTGGATATAATAAAAATATATTAGATTACTAAATAAAAATAAGTATATATATATATTATAAGTATCAGAGGGCTCCTAAAAGAGCTTATTTTAATAATGAATATGTACCTAAAAAACAAGTATAATTGTGTTAAAAATTTCTAGGTTTTTGTTTAAAAAATATGGATTCGCGATTTTCATTTTAAAAATTTTCCACGATAAAGTTTTTTAAAAAAAATATGTAGACTGGGGAAAATTGCCGTTAGTTGATATGACTATTGGCTGAAATATAAAGTTATTTAATTTTGAAGTAAGGGGGTTTGAATTAATTGATGAAGGTAAGAGAAGACGCAGGTTGCGTCCCAAATAAGGCCGTTAGACAAGGGGGTACAGGTTAAAACGTCCGGTCTGAGGTCGTCCTGTAATGAAAGGTTGGTTGGTTCGAGGATGTTGGGCATTTTAGCCTTATTAAAAGCGCTATAGATGATTTTATTTATTGCTTTATGCTGGAGATGGCGACCTTGGTTGCGGGTGCAGTTTAGGCCGTGTCGGGCATTAGGTTGAACGGGTATTCAGTTGGTAATTGGTTAAGAGATTATCTAAGGTTTGGCTTGGAAGTGCTTCGAGCCATTCATGCCCGCCATATTTATCGTTGGATTGTAATAGTTGTATATCGGTAGGGTTAAGGCTATTTTGTAGTTTCTTAATTAGGGGTTCGATGATAGATTTGTTGGAAATTTCGGTTGGAAATGTATAACCGTCTGGAATAAGTGGATTCCATCGTTCTATTGCTGCTGTTAGAAGATCATCATTGGGAGTTATGAATAATGAGATCGCAGAATTGAGGGATAGGCGATTTGAGATAAATAAAGAAGGGAATCAGGTCGATACCACCTAGTTTAGCAGGTAATTGGGCAAGGTGCCAATTAAAGGCTGATAATGAAAGGTTGAGGATCCCTTCTATAAAGGTTTTTAAGCGAATATTGTGTTGATTGAAAAATTTTGAGGCGGTGGATGAGGAGAATGAGTGAAAAACGAGATTTTGGGTAGATATAAACACCTTTTTAATAAGTAAAAAAAGTTAATGCGATGGAATATGGTTGATGAACTTTTCCAGGTTTTGCATCTCAGAAAAAATTTTATCTATAATTTTTTATGATATATTATTAAGTAAAATGGAGGTCATCATATCAGTGTAACTTTAAATAAATCAAAGGGTATCTCGGGGTTGAGGGAGCATATTTCTGTTTTGGTTTTGTTTAATTCTAAACCAATTTTAATACATTCTGTTTCAAGGTGGCTAAGGGCTTTGCTTATCTGATATGAATTACCGCAAATTATGCCATCATCTAGTTACCATAGGTTAATGTATTTATTTATCTTATATATTTTTATCAATATATCATTGGTTTTTATATACTGTTTTAATATTTTAGTGTTTTATCATTTTTTTAAAATATAAATATTCAGAAATTAATAAAAAATTTAAGTATTGGATATGAAATGAATATAATTATAAATGTGATTTAAGTAAAATTATATAATATACTTTTAGATCCTTGATGAAATTCAGGGACGTCGCTAGCCTTTACAATCTCAGGGTGCTCAACTAAAATTTTTTATGGGGTTCGCTCCCCATTCCCTTAACTTGCGGCCGGGTTTTATATTAACATATTATACTTTTTTAAAATTTGCTAACTAAACAATTATTCTGAATTTCATATTTTGTCATTTATTATATTTTGCATAGAAAATAAACTAACATATAAATAATTAAAACAATACAAGACATATCTAAAAATAATATTTTTTAATATAAAATCTATTACAGTATAAAATATTTTCAATGGTTGATATAAAAAAATTTTGCGTCTAAAGAATTACAAGTGATAAAAAAAGGTTAATTCATACATATGCCTCAATTGATAATGGTTTTTAAAAACCACATAAGGCTATATAATTCTTAGCAACTTACATTGACAAAAGGTCATGAAACTAATATAACATTCTGTTACCATTTTAGACAATGTTTTATATAATGGACTAATAAGAAAAAATTTATACTTACCAAATTAACAATTCTTGAAGAGAATATAAACGAAACGACCAATCCAAATCATAAAACTATATGGTAGTTAGAGCTTCCTCTTAGATGACATGATGGAAGCTAGATAAGTAATCGAGAAAATTATTGTGAGATATTAAATTTTTAAAAGATTATATTCAAATTTTAATGATATATAAACGACTACACAGTTGACCATTATTACATATTTTAGATATGATGCCATCATATGCTCTCAGCAGCTGTGGTAATAATCTAATTACATAGCCACACAAATAATAGATGCTGGTTAATTTACAGTCATAGCTATGACACTCACGATGGTAACCCATATCA